AATCACCTTTGGGGTATCAACTGTCTGTTTTTCTTGTGCTCCTGAACCTTCAGTTAAAATCTACTGCCTGAATAAGAAACTCCCGGCACTTCATGACAGCAAAGTAGTCACAATATTTAAGCCAATTGTATAACATGCTATACAGACTATATGCTTAATCCTTGACAGCTACTAACAGTGGAAGAAATGTTCCCGAAAGTCAGTGACAGATACTTTGTTCTAATAGAAAGGTCTGCTTTATGCAGCCACTGCAAGATAGAAAACATGTCCACAAGGAGCTGCTGGGGGATGCATTATACCCCAAACTGCTGTATCCAGCATGTAACTTAGAACAACTCCTTGGCTGTTTTGCATTATACTTCCTTATTGCAGTTCCAGAGGGCTTGCTAGTCCAGACCACTGTCTTAGAAAACCCAAACAAGAAGAACAGATTTTTTTTTCACAAGAGAAGGATTTGCTTGCTAGAAAAACTACTTATTGCATTTCAAGGGTAGGTCAGAAAAGCTTGCAATACATTGGGGAAGGAGAAGGGGAGGGAAGAGAATGTCACCCCTATGCATTTACATCCCGATATGACATATGAATGCTGTTTTAAAGTCCAGTGAAACACAGGAGACACACCTTACATTGGTAATATAGGAAACAGAAGATAAACAAGCAATGCTGGACCAATTTGTAGGAAACAGGAATCAAAACATATAGCCTAGAAAAACAGAGAGTAAAAGAGGATTCTTTCTCTGTTATGTTGTGTTCCCTAAAAATTAATGCAAAACTCCTCTTTTCAACAAACAGAGAAGCTAAAGCTTCAAGTTTCCATAACACGACATGGAGACCACAGAAGAAGTTTGAGAGCAACGAGAGTTTAGCAGAAGGTGTGAGGAGAAGGAGTTCTCCACTGCTCACGAGCAGGTGATCTCAAGGCCTCTTTTAACACTCCTTTCTGCCATCTGTTTCTGATTGACTTGTCCAGTCATTCAGGTAGCCTTTGCAGCTCCACCATGGCAATAAAAATGGACTTGAAAGGTATTTCAAGACTCAGCTGGACATTCTCCAAATCCCACAAGCATCAAAAAAAAAAGGAAACTTAAATTCCTCCTGTTACCAGGAATGTATTAAATAACAAAAACTGGAAGAAGGTATGTTGGCCAGTGTTCAGAGCCTTCCTGGATCTACTATCTTGTCTCCACTGATCAACTTCGTGTACTTTTCAATGCCATTTTTCCACAAATACAAAATTAACAGAATGGCTGGTAATAGTAAGACCTTCAGAACTCCTCTTTTCCACTATTCCCTTCACCTCTAATCACACAATTAACTGTTGTCAGAATACTCCTGGTTTGCAACTGACTTCCATTTTTATACAGTTTCACTACCTCTTATCTTGAACATTTTAATTAGATTATTTTTCTGGGTAATTTGTACTGAGTTGGTTCTTGGGAACAGCTGTAGTGAAATTTGGATTTAGCTTTTTGCACTGTCTTCTTAGAGATGAGCTTTTAATTTTAATTTAACCAAAAATATTAAACCTACTGTGTAACCCTATGAAAAAATTCCACTTATTGGTTATCTCTTTCAATGTTTTCATATGAGAAAATTCTGCATACTGGTTATCTCTTTCAGTGTTTTCATAGTGTATTCAATTAAGAGAATGTCTTTCAACATCTCACACAAAAGAGATTTTAAAATTGCTTGCAACTGTTTCTCAGTAATAAACAGTGGGTAGTTGCCCTATTCCCATCTTCTTTCACACCTTCTCTTTTGTGTCAAGTATCTTCCTGCTTTTCCAAATATATGTAAAAAGCCTGTTACAGGTAAGTCTAACTCATCAGTCCAGACTGCTCCTCCCTTTCTCCAAAATCTTACTCCATTTACCCATCTTTACCAAGACATACAGTCTACAAAGAGTGATTGAGAGGCTTTATAGAAAACAATGCACTTTATTTATTTGTTTAAGAAATACAGTTATAGTTATTTTACACAGGCTTTAAACCATATATATTAAAGTGTTAAGCTACATATGGTCAGACCACAGCCATTTGGATTATTTTATAAACTCTGAATTCTCAGATTATAAATTCTATCTAGCAACCAGGGCAGTATGATGAAAATTGTACAAGCACTAGCAGGGAATAAAAGAACAAACATTAGACTGACTACCAACATAACAAATGTGCTGTCACGGAAATACCATTTGGACATAATTTTGCAAGAAGTTATCAGAAACTGAACAATGGCCATGAAAGGAAACCTGTGTAGGACTTTGTGCAAAGGCACACCACTTCTTAGTGCATGTAACGGTAGTGGTAAGCCATATGTTGGCACAGCACATTGACATCTAGCACCAGTTACTCCATTCCAAAATACATACAGGAAGTTCTGTGGAATTTCTTCACATATGCCCACCGTGTGCTTCTTCTTATTAAAGACTAGTTACAGCCAGAAGGTAAGGAGTAACCCATCAGTCTAATTCACGCCATTACGGAAGTTTTCCTTCTCATGTATTCATCATTTAATATTCTTATATCTGTCTTTGACTTGCATTCTCCCTACCTGTATAACTAAGTAAAGGTATTGGTTCTCTTTACATCTGTATATTGGCTCTCTTTTTATCTGTATACCCAGTAAAGTATTTTCCAGCTTTTCATTATTTATATTCCCTATTTTCTCTCATTCTCATCTGTATACCCAGTCAGAAATTTATCCATTATTGATATCTCCTAGTTGTATGCATGGCACTTTCACCGACGTATAAGAAACTACTGTGGCTCACTACATTCTTTTCCTAATTCAACATAAGATCTGGATATGCAAAGTATAAAAAGGCAGGCTCTGAGTTGGCCAACCAGTCTGACAAAATTAAAAACCAGGAAAAGTGCATCCTGCAACCAACTGGGCATATAATGGCCTAGACGGGAATACAGAGAAACATCTTGAGTAAAAGATGTGTAACACACACACAAAAAAAGTGATCAATGCAAAATATTTTGTCCTTGGATTCCTAAAGAGTAGTTTCAAGGTGGTAGTTCAATTTTTACATGAAAGCTTGGTCCCAAATTTTTGTGCATCCAACTGGAAGTAGCACTGCCTGCTCACCTAAGCGCTACAACAGAGAAATTGGTGGTCATTTTTTCATTAGGTAACTGCACCTTTACACATCGTATTTTCTGCTACCTTAGTGACATTTTCCAGCTTCTCTCATGTAAATTATTTATCTTAATAGACTGCACAGCTGTCTTATTCTGGCTTGCAATGACTGGGAACACGTGGGAAATATGCTTCAGACTTTTGAGTCAATGATGCTGGAAGTGGGAATTCATTTTAAAACACAATAGTAATCAGGTCTCACTTTGATCTGATTGATATGAAATGCCTGCTGTGTAAATGCAGCTGCATTTTTGTGAATTTCATGTATAAAAGGAAGCCTTCTGTACCTGTAAATGCTCATTTCTAACTTTTCAATTCATGTAGTAAAAACTGTCTAGAAAGAGTGTACTTGGATGTTTACACCCAAGTTGTAAACAACAATGGAGTTGTTTATTTTTTTGGCATTCACCTTGTAAACCCTACACATACAATTCATATTTTGATGGCAATTGCAAGGGATAACTAAAAAACTGAGTAAAAACACCACCCGAAAAAGCATTGTTAGGACATTTTATACAGAACTGTGCCTAGCTGTAGCAGAGAGCATTATTCAGTGTGACGGGATCCAGTGTTTACTCACTTGCAGTTTCTAAATCTGCCTGGATCCAAGAATTTTCTGACAGTGTGATGTGTGGATCTAGCGAGCTCAGGTACGGCCCCGGCCCTCTGGTGCGGTCTCCTTCCCCGCGGAACCCCGCCGGCAGCCACACGTCCAGCAGCCGCTCTGGGACACCCTTGCCACCACCTCCTTCCGCACGCCCCGCCAAAGCGGGGGTCGGGACGCCCCCCGCGGCCGCAGCTGCCACGTCCTGGCTGCCGGGGAGACAGAAGGGCACTCGCTGCAGAACGAGCTCCTCTTGTACCGGCGCTTTTCAATTTGCAAGGTGGGGGCAGGAGGGCGCCCGCGGCGGAGCGAAGTTCAGCCGCCGCGAAGGCAGCGCGGCGGCGGGAAGCCCCTCGCCTACGCTCTCCCCTTCCCGCCCCGCGGCCCGCTTCACACCTCGCCCCGTAAGAGGAGGCCACAGCCCCAACCCCTCCGGCATACCTGCCTCCGCGCATCACCTCCCGCGGCCCACGCCGGGAGGCCGGGGCGCCGGGCGGCTTCGCGGGCCGCCCCGCGGCGGCGGCGGGGCCTGAGGCGGGGCCGGGGTCGGGCAGCGGCCGCGGGGCTGCCCGTCCCTTGCCCTTGTCCTTGCCCCTGTCCCGGCGGCGCAGGGCGGCGGCAGCGCACCCTGCCGCCCGCCTGCCGGCCACAGCGCCGGCGCCCGCTAGGAAGTAGTTGTGAGTAGGGTTACCTGTCCTATATTGACGTATCCGTATTTGCTCGCTACCCTGTTGGCCTCCGGGAGCCCCCCGGTTATCCGCACAGCCCAGTGGTTGGTGTAGAGGCGCGTCCTGCAGGCGGGCAGCAGGAACCCTAGCACTAGGGCGAGCCGGCAGAGAAGGTCCCCGCCGCCTCCGCCTCCCCAGCAGCAGCGGCGCTTCCAGCCCATCTTCTCCTCCTCAGCACACAACCCCCACAAAACTTCTTCCTTCTTCCGAGACGCTTCTCCTCACCTCCGGGGGGCACCGGCGGCGCGTCCTCCGAAGTTACCCCGAGGAGGAAACTAGGAAGAGCTTGGAGTAGTGCATTGAACCGCCCGGGGGTTAAATGATGAGGGGTTGGGAATAGTGGTTCTGATCAGTGATTGTTGCTGTCTTCTCTTCCCGTCGCTCTCCGGGGTAACTTGCTCAGAAAGCTTCTCTCACAGTTCCTGAGCGCCAGCTTCTCCCTCTATCCCCAGCTATATGGGAAGTCGTCTCTCCGCGGGGAGGAGGGTTCCTTCTCCCTCTCTCCGCGTTTCCCTCCGCTCTGACTTCCTTCCCCCTGCCAAGCGGTCTTCAACGTCCTCTCCCGCGTCTGGCTTTTCTTCGCCTGTACTCGCTCCCCAGGACCACTGGGACTCCGGCGGCAGGCGATGTGTGAGTGTTGGCAGCTGAGCGCCTCAGTGCACTCTAGCTCGGCCACCTCCCTCTCCCTTCTCCCCTCCCTCCTCCTTCTCCTCCGCCTCCTCTCCCCGCCCTCTCTCCCGCACCGCCGAAGGGCAGGGGAAATGGCAGCCGCGTTGGGCCCACGTTATGCTGGTCTCTGCGCTCCCGGGCCCCGGGCTATAGCTGGCCCCGGGCGTCGCTGCCCCCGAGCGCTCTTCCCTGTTCCCCATCGGGCCGGGAGGCTGCCGCCCCGCTGGCGGGGCTGCGGCAGCCGGGGGAGGTGCGAGGCCTGCAGCAAGGCCTCGTGCCCGGCACCGGCGGCGGCCTCCCGGCCCTGCCCTCGCGGGGTGCCCGGGGCGAGGAGGGGCCGGGGGGAGCCCCAGCTGCCCCGATCGGCCAGGTCTGCCCTTCTGGCCCCGGGAGAGTGAGCCTGAGTAGCAGGCAGGACAGGAACAGCCTGTCTGCTGCCTGTCCGGCAGCCACGGGCTGTGTCGTGAGCCCGTCTGTTGGTCTCTCTTTACTTGTCATTTAATGCCGAGCTTTCCCCCACAGCCCATCTGTCCGATGGTCACCCCGTGCAGAAAAAAAGTGGGTAGCTGCCAGTTTGGCAGAGGAGGGGTTGTCTAGACCCAGATGGGGAGGACGGCCTTCCCAGTGCTCCGCTGTTCCTGTCCCCGTGCAGCTGGCCAACAGCTCTGCGAGCTTGCTAGGAACCACTTCCAGCACCAGAGCGCCTGTGGGCCCAGAGAATATGCAGCTGGTCAGCTGCAGCTGGCCCAGGCGCCACCAGTACTGAAGGTACTCCTGCCTGGAGGAAGCGAGAGAAAACTCATGTCCGTCGAGTCAAGCCTGAACTGGACTAAATAAATCGTAGAGCCACAACAGTATCTTCAAGCAACCTGTAGATCTACTTCCTTTTGTTTGAAAGTTAAAATAATTGTCTGTAAAATTCAGTCCAGAAATTCACACCTGCTGTGAAGATCCGTTGCATGTTTTGAAGGAATTTGGACATGAGAAATACTATTGCAATTTAGTAATGTAAATGTTGTGGGATTTTTTTCTCTGAGGAACCTAAGGTGTAGGCAAAGTTGACTGACTTTGTGGGCAAAAGTTAGGAAGCTGTCACTCTCTTTTTCACTGAAGAATGACAAGTTAAATGCTTTACAGAAAGTCATACAGTAACATGGAGTTCCTTTTTTCCTTCACCAAGACCTGTGGACCTACCTTTAAAATTGATGTTTTCCTAATAAAATAGAAATAGTAAAATGCAGAGCCAAAGCCACATTTTCCAATTAAATGATTTTCTGTCTTAAGTTCATTTATTTTCCTCTTATGCACTGGTATTATACTAGCAACTAATATCTTCCCACATACTTTGATTGTTTTTAAAGGGGAGAAAGGAGGAAAATTTATTCTCTACCTCCCTCGATATCTTCAAAAATTGATTTACCAGTGATTTGCTCTTCTCTGTTAGTACTTTTCCCTGTAGTTTGTGCTACCATTTGCCTTTCTAGTTCTTTCTCAACCTGAAAATCGCTCTGGCTAATCAGCTCTGGCAGCCTCTGCACTGTGGTTCATGTCAGCTTTCCAGGACTTTCCTATATTTCACAGATCCATGCTCCAGAGATGTGTTAGGCGCCCCAGGGTCATAATTAAGGAGGAAACCACAGAGGGCATGCGTATAAATTCAAAGAAAGTGACAGCTCAGGTTCCTCCAGGAAGAAGTCCTGCAAGCAGATGTGCTAGCCCCTGAAGACCTTCTGGAACAGAGAATGTTTTAAGAATGGACTGGGGATACATATCATCATTTGGAGTGGGAGAGTCTGGGCCATAACAGATGAAAGAAGGGAGATCTTCAGAGAGTGGAGGTTGTGTCAGGGAGTCATTTAGAGATTGCCTTAGATGGATAGTTTGGAATTCAAGGGAGTATTTGGATTTCCTTAGTTTCAAGAATAACTGTTTTTACTGTTTTTTATAAACAGTGCAGCTAGGTCACTTGACAGCAGCCACTATACGATCTAATTTGCTAGTACACAGTTCTTTGATCTGCAGTTTTCCATGCTTCAGGATTGCTTCTGATTTTACATATTTTAACTTCAAATGCTTTTGAAAAGAATAAAGTTTGGGGGTTTTTTGCTTATTTGGTTTTTTTTTTTGGTAAAACACTGTTTTTACATATGACCGACTTTATTAGGGGTTTCTTTCTTTAGCAAATACCTCTCTCCTTATCCTTTGAAGCAGGATCCCTATTTTGAGTACCTCACTGTTCTCAAAAAACCACTATGTATGTCCAAATTTTGAGTGAGAGTTTTCACCTGTACGTTAGACACCTTTTTTTTTGCATTCATCAGCCAATACTTTGAGATTACTCAGCCTCACTGGCTCACTGTTCCTAGTGTGTAGACTATAGGGTCTACATACCTAACCCTGTATGCAGTTGACAGCAAAGCATGGCTTTTTATTGCTGTTCCCACTTCTTGCTGGTCACTGTGGGAGTGAACATGATAATTGACAGCAGTTTTTAATGATTTTTCTGGGAATGCAGAGGAGGAAAGCCTTCTGCCCTGAATGTAGAGGGTGAAAAGGATGGGTGAAAGTACTCAATTGAGATGAAGAATCTGGGGCAGGAGAAAGGAAGGAAGAGAAAGAAATTGGGATAGAGGTTTAGCAGAGCAGTCTTCTGTCAAGGTGTGTTCCAACCCAAGCCTCGTTTTCCCCTGGGCAATTTATTGTCAGAAAATCAGTGATATGTTGAAGGAAATAAAGGGCAGAATCCTTTATTTCTCGTCTGTTGGTAGTAAAGAATGAGAATTTGGGTCTGGACCTAGGAATAGGTGTGAGTCTGGGCTTTTTGTGATCACTGAAATTGGACTGATGCTGCCTTATTCAGATGCTGTGTGGATTTCATTTTGATTTTATGAATAAGGCTGCACTGTCCATTTTTCTGTTCTATTCCTCCTGTCGACAGAATGTAACTCTCACCTTTCCATCTTTGATTATGTTTATTATCTTTTTTTGAAGCAGTGGCTCCCACCTCTTTATAGTTATGACCATACTGGCAGGCATAATTTGAAAAGACACTAGTGTTTGTTGCAAAGCCATCAGACTCCTTCTGCTTGTACCGATGCCTGTGCCAGCATGCTTGTTTGCCATCTTTCCATTTGTGCAAATGTGTCTCTTTGGGCTGAAATATAAACTGTCATTGAAATAATTGTAATTTGCATAGCTCTTTTTCTCTTTTTATTTGTTTTATTTTTTATTTCAGAGATGTAGTTGACAATGCAAATAGCTGTACTAACTGTAGTGATAACATACAGTGCACAGCTAGGATGAATGGCTAAGGCATGGAGAGAAAAGAAGGAAGGTCAAAGCAGGGAATCTTTTCAACTGACAGTGCCTGACAGTGTCCTATAACACTGAAGCTTGAGTTCTTTTCAGAACAACAACTGCACATTTTCCATCTCAAACTTCTCATCGGATTGTAAAGTTGCAGTCATAGAATCTCAAATATATGGAAAAACTAAGTATAAAACCAACATTTATCATATTTGGCTATGAATTTTAACTATGGAAATTATCATAGGCCCCTTCGAAGTGGTGGTAGAAAGATCTTTTTTTCTGAAATAATTTATCTGAGCGAATACATCCATGTGAAAGTAGTTAAGGTTTTATTCACCCAAGTTCACTGGAGTTAACATTCCAGTTAACTTGTTTCTAAATTGTCCTGTGAGCCAGAATTATTGTAGCTACCCTTTTCTATACAGCTGGCTCAGCTGTACTCTAAGTATCTATAGGATTTTCCTTTCCTGTTGTAGTGTTAGAGAAGCCATCAAATGCTGCTATGCTTTTCTCACACCAATATGTTGTTGATGGCATATGGCTAAAAAGAGTGACCCAGTGGCAAGTGAGAATCTAATGCAATTTCAAAAACATCATTAAAAAATAGTAGCTAAATGTCCTTACCCAAAAAGTATAATCTCACATCTTCCAGCATGGCCCACCCTCATTTCATGAGCTTTAGTTGGACTGGTTCCATTTGTACCCCAAACCCTCTCAGAGACTACTGCAGACCCTTCACTAGTATTCAACTTCTTAAGAGGTGCAATTGTCTTCTGAGTTCTGGTTCCCTTATCTTTGTTCAGGTGCTCTATTGTCACAATATGTACATGAAGTAACTAACTTCATGATGATAGAGTGATTATACTTAATCTTCTATCTTCTCTACCCTGTTGTTGTGAGAGGAAGCAGAAGTCATGTCTTTAATCTGTAAGAAAACCTGAGCAACTTTTCCACAGATTATGAATAGAAGTAGTCGTTTAAGAGCATCCCTTTAGCTTGGGGCTCTCCACTCCTTCCAGTACAATTCCTTTGAATTATATGCCTGCATTCTTTTGCATGGAACTAGTTCAGTGTAATTTATTAGGTCTTGAATTGAAAAAGATCTTATTTACTAGTTAGCCCATGTCTAGCAGAAGATATGACGTGGAAGTGGTGAGTTTATTAATGGGGAAGGAGACTGGATGAACACCAGCCTATAGTTTAGGAAGTATGGCAGGTTTTTTAATTTTGTATTTCAGACAAGGAAGAGTTTGGGAAGGGGTATTTTAGGACATACAGCCTCTATTTGTTTGTGTTTGAATAATAAATAATTCTGTTATAATTCTGTCATAATTCTCTTTTGAGGGAGTTCAAGAGCATAGCTGTGGCACATCCTTTTCTCCTAAGATACCATTCACCAGATAACTTGCTCCTGAATAGTGAAGAAGTCAAACAGTTTACCAAACAGAAGAATAGGTGGAACTGTATGTGCTCTTCCCTGTTGTAGTATAGTTGAACCAATGCCAAGACTGCAAAAATGGAAGTTCCCATTAATTGTTTATTAGTTTTAAACAAAAATAGAAAGAGATTCAGCTAGGTTTGATACATCCTGGCAGATTTTAAGTCTAAAAGGAGATGAAGGGCAGAAATATAGACATCAGTAAGAATGGCCCAGCTACAGACACTGCTGATCCCATAACTCAGAAACTTGCTCTACTGTGTCAATTTGCTAAGGAGGCAATTCTGGTGCTTCTTTTACAATGGATAGAGCAAATGCACATCTTTGCAGATGCCTCTGCACTTTGCCTGCGAAAGAGCAGAGCTGTACTAACAGTATGTCAGGGCCTCTTTAGTGTTCTTTGATTTCATGCAAAGGACAAAACAATCCATTGATGAAAGCTCTTTCCTTTCCCAATTGTTCTTCTTCATATCATCCTTGTGGATTCCTTTCAACTCAAAATATTCTGTGATATCTTTTTCTTCCCCCCCCCCCCCCCCTTTCTGTAGTTTTTCTCCCTTTTCTATTCTGCTCATCTTTCTGCTGGTGGGAAGATTTTCCCCTTTGCTCTTTGTCCATCTTATCATTTCTGCTCTTCATTTCCAAGACATCTATTCTGTACATCCTACTCTTGGAATGTTATTCTCTGTGCTCTCCTCTGTTTACTATGAAAAACAAGGGCCATTATAGCTGAAAGTTTTCATGAATGGGAATGACCATGATGGCATGTAATACAGAATTGCTGAGAAATCCTCCCTAAGGTATAATCTTTTCATGATAGAGAATAACCTGGTGCTCTGTAACTGGTAGTCCACGTTCAAAGTGCATAGTCCTACAGTAAAGGTAACTGTGAATCAGAAGTTACAGCACTGGTGAATCTTCAGCACAGTGATATTTATGGGTAAACCAGCACTGGAAGAAGCAACCTGTGAGGGAGAAGAGGGATTTGGATGTGTGCACTCATAAACACTATACTCTTTCTTCACTTCTTGTCAGCCTTAGTTCGTTTTTGTCTCTTCTGTGTTGATTCCTCAGCTGGGTAATTCAGAGCCACATATTTGTATCTTTAAATTCTTGATGCAGCAACTGAGCAACTGAAGAGCGAACAGAGCAAATGAGAACAATATACTTGTTAAAAGTCTGACACTTTTCTGTGGCCCTTTGCACTTACACTGCTTTTCTTCATGCTGAAAAACGCATTTATTCCATGAAACAAATATGAGACAGAAGACCTCTTTAATGTACAGAATGGTAGTTCTGGTAGTTAGCAGTTCCCAAAAACACTGCCAAAATCTTAATTAAAAAGAAAAAAAGCATCTCTGGAGAGCCACCCTGAATGTGATGTTGTTTCCATGTTGCAAAGTGAACCAATTTTTGACAGTTCTTTAGATCATAGCCCTAAACTTGAATGTTCACAATGTAAGGAATGTATGTACAGTTTATAGCGTATCACCACCACCAATATACCAGCTCATTAAGTTCTGAACCTTTCAGGTTTGCAACAAAATCATGCTTACAGATACGCACACTGTATAACTGTGACATTAAAATGCTAATTTTGAAGCACTATGCAGCAAATTAACCTTATAATCATCAATTTATTTTCTAAGAATATGGTTTGGACAAGGTCTGTGGGATCCTGAGAGACAGCACCTTAAAATGTTCAATCCGTGCTAGCTCTCCCTGAGAGGCAAAAAAACCTGGGTCTTTTGAAGACCTTCTTCTGATCAGGAGATACTTGTACCATCAGAGAGTGAAGTAATACCCTCTGATTTACATGATCAGTTAGAACTTGCCAGCATGGATGGATTTTGGTATACCTTGTGTCACTTACTTCACTTTTTACTTCATCTATCCATCCACCCATGAAGTAAACAAAAACAGAAAAAAATATAATCTTTCCCAGCACTAAAATAATGAATAAGAAATGACAATTTCTAGTAGACATTTAGTAAAAAGTAGAATGAACTAAATCCTCAGTCTTGTTACTTCCAGTGTGGCAGAGGAATCCAGCAACATGCAATAGACAGTGTCCTGTGCTCACTTGGTCAGTTTTATGTTCTGATTTGCTTGGTCAGCTCTAGTTCTGGATAGTTTTCTGGTTAACTGTATATCACACTCTGTTGTCATTAGAAGAAATAATCTAGCTTTACATGAGTATATAGTGAACAGTATCTAGCTCACTGAATCAGAGTGATGTGTTTCCAACATACTTGTGGGAGGGCACTAATTCAGGTCACATAACTACCACACTGACTGACTATCTCTGGAGTGCCTCCAAATGTATTCATTCCTGATTCAGGTTCTTCAGATGCACAGACACATTTTCTTAAGACAGTCTCAGGATGACAAAGATGGTGAAACTGTTTCTGAATAATATTGTAACTGTTGCTTCAGCTACAGGAAATGGTGCTTGAATACTGCTGAAGTGAGAGAACAAGAATTCCTCCTCCAACAGAACATGCTTTGTTTAGCTCCTCACCACAGGTGAGGATGAAATGGAAAACATAAACAAAGAAAACAATATAACACAATTGCCAAGCTTTTCATCTCTAGTGTCACAGAGAGATGCTGTTAGGATGAGAAGTTAACACATGGAAGCCAGCTGTAGAAACTAAATGTCTCAAGGAAACTTCTTTTTAGATAATGAAATCCATTCACAGGGACTATCACAGAAAGTTGGAGTGACCTGATAAAACTCAGAAGAAATTACCAATTTTATTGTTGGAAAGGCAAGAAAGTGAAACTCAAAGCCTGACAGACTCTAAAAATGATGAAAATGTTATTTCAAAAGTTTTATCTCCAGATGTTCGAAGAAGTTTTTTTTAAAGATAACATGTTACATAATATGTTGGAAAACCACCTCTAAGTGTACATGAAACAAACTAAGCCAAAATCAGAAAAGTTACATTCAGAAATGTAGCTGGACATTCTGTGAAAAACTGTTGAAATCATCTGAGCGGAATTCTGGCTTTATGATGAAATCATTATTAGGAAAACTAGGCTGCTATGCTGCCCCTGGAGCAACCAGGGAAAGCAATTTGAGGAAATGGTGACTAACAGATATACTGAATTTATACCAAGTGCAGCATATAGTACCTCAGTGCAATGGCACAGCTAAATCCCAGACATATTTGATGTGTGCTACTGCATTGCTCCTTGCCCCTTTCCTCCTGTGTGCATTAGGAGAAGACCATGAAAATGATGAGGGGTGACTTGAGGTCATCTCATAACCCTGTGAGCCACCTCTCATGCCTATCATGCTTGCCTGTGTGAAACCGTATGTTACAAACATAACAAAGATTTTCCTTCTCCTGCAGCCCCTCTACTTGCTATGACACACTGGAAGCTCCAGGCAACATTATTCATTTTGTTTGTCTAGATATACAGAAGCTACAAGTAGATTAAGAGCTTCTTGTGCGTTAGACATGTCAAGTTAAAAGCTTACACTGCCCTTTTCAAACATATTCAGAAAACGGCTGTCCTTCATTGACTGTCAAAGTATCATAAATACTCAAATAATTTGAGGCCTAATTAAAAGCAATATCATTGTTCCATGCATTTCACATGGGCTTTTGCTATAGATCAAGTAACCTCAAGATTTAAACACAAACTTTTAGGAAGTCCTTACTAAAATAAGTCTCATTAGTGTCAAACTGCTTGATCAGGGATCTGATTAATAGCCATTTGACATTAATGAGAGACATTGTATTAAAGGCTGTTAAAATCAGTCTCATATACAGATGCAGGCCAAGTTAAGAAAGGCTGTATGTGTGTGTGTAATGTATTTATTTACCTGTTTGGCACAGCTGACAGAATAGGAAGATATGGAGACATACAGAAAATAGCTTACAGCTCACCTATAAACTCCATCAATTTTACTGCAAACCTCCTCATTTTTTTTATCCTGCATTATCTTATACTAGTTGCAAATTTTCTCAAAAGACAAATGCAGGTCCCCAAGTTGTTAAGATGTAAAATTGTCTATATTATGCATTTCTTACTACAGTCTCAAAAGGAGAATGACCTGTGAAATTTGAACCTCCTTGGATCTGTTTCTTCCAGCAAGACAATACAAAGGGGATGTACTGTGCTGGAGGTTCTGACAATGTGAGTACAGCAGCTCATTGTCAGACCTTTATAATTAGAATATTTATTTCACATTTGGATGTGGATGTGAGCTATTCAGGGAGAGGAACAAAGGGGATAAAAGGCTGGATAACATACACACACATGTAAGATATATTTTTGCAGTCCCAGAACTAACAAATAATAAAACCAATTCTGTTTAACCTCGTAAATATCTTCACCTGACATCTACAGGCAAAATTCCACATATCTAAAAAGCAAATTTTTCAAGGTTTTGCTCTTACTATATTGAAATGTTATCTAAAATGTTTTGCAAACTTATGTCTACCATTTGCTGCTAATTGAGTTCTCACATGCAGCCAAGTGGTTCACATGGAAGATACAATATCTGTGCCATCAGGTTTCCTCTAAGAATATGTTCAGATATTTTTAAAATTTTGGATACAAGTATAAAATGCAACTGATATGCCAACAGTTCATTATCTTCTTACTGCATGATCTATTTTAGGGGCAGTCAATTGCCTGGCTCCATTTTATTTGTAAGGTTAAAAGATGTCTCAGAGTAACTTACTTAGGAGATGTCTGAGACTAACTTACCTGTTTGTAAAGTATGTGTATGATTTTGAAGCCCGGACATGATACTTTTGTTTGCCTCACAGGTAATTAGATGTATTTTCTTAATAGCTATTTTGAAAAAACAGGACTAGAAGACATTGTTGACAAGCCAATAAATAATCATGTTACAGATGACATTCAGTCTCCTAATTTTCCTTTTAGTTAAGTATTTGAGGACAATACTCATGCTTTTAAATTGTTTTTGTGGTTTGGTTTTGTTGGTTTGATTTTGGTTTGGGTTTGCTTTTTGTTTGTTTGTTTGTTTGTTTATTGAGGGTTTTTGGTGGGTTTTTTTGGGTTTTTGGGGGGAGTGTTTGTTTGGGGTTTTTTTGTTTTGGTTGGGTTTTGTTGTTGTTTTTGAGGAAGGAGGCCTCTAGAACCAGAATTATGCTTGTAACTACACCTTGCAGGACAGTGGGTTTTTTAATGTGTTAACACTGCTCTTCAAAGATCTGGATCTCACATGCATAGAAGTATCTAGTGTGACTGAGGATATATTTTTTGAAAGGTGCTCTGTAAGCTCATATTGTGCTGTATGTCTTAATTACTGATTTGCTTTTTTTCTCTCAGTGAGATAGGGGCTAAATAAACAGGTGCCTGAGACATCCAGGCTGCTTTACAATGCGAGCTACTTTATATTTGCTATTTTTTTTTGTGTTGCTTCCCTTCTGATTCATAGTTTGGTTTAGTTAGCCACTCTAAACCACTTCACAGAGAACAGGGGTTTATCAGTGTTTGCGGAGTGTGCCATCCCCTTCCTGTCTGGGAAGCAGAAGGAGAGCATGGGGTGCTGTTGTGATGATGACCTTTGGCAAGCTGAGATGCAAGGCACCCCGTAGGAATTTCCTCCAGCTCAAAGGTATTTAACAAATTATCCAGTTCCGTGGTGGGACCTAGTCAGTAGGTGGTCTACTTGAGTGTCTGTCTGTCTTTCCTTATCCTCCTCTTTAGCTTAGAGAAGCTGCAGTAAGAGGGGGAAAAAAAGGAAAAAGAAAAACAAAACAAAAACCAGCTATTAAGCTGGAAAGACGTGATCTGCATAATTGTTCTAATTGCAGCTAGTTCTGTGATGAATAGAACTGATGTCAAATTCAACAACGACTTAGGAGAAAAAATATCTCAAAGTCCTTTACTATAACATGAAAGACGAAACTCTTATGATCATTGCCGTTCAGTTTAAAGAACCAGTGACTAATTAAGGGGGAGGGGAAACAGTCCCATTGTTTAATTACTGAAGAAAGGATTAAATTGGCAGGTATAAATAAACAAAATTAAACTATGCACCTCTCTGGCCTTTCTGAGTTGCACAAATTGGTATGAGAGTCATGCAGGAGAGGTAGTTGTCAGTAGGGATTTTTAACATAATTCTAGCAAACATTGCATCAAACATAGGCTACTCCAAAAGTTCTGCTATCTCAGGATTCCCAAAGAAACAAAGAAGGAAACTCACATGACTATTGTCAGAAGCACAGTGTCATCTACAGACCTGAAGGCACTGCTTAGAGAGAGGAAAGCTACCCAGCCCTGACTGTGGCACTTACTGTGGCCTTGCACAGGACACTCCATGTCTTTTTCCTGATTTCCTTATCTTTAAAATGGGATAATAAAACATACTTACCTGTTCAATGCTTGTGTTGTGAAATTTCGTGTCTAGATAATGCGCTTGCTGTAGAGGAGCAAAAGATTTATATGCCTGTTTTTAAATCTGTTATTGAGACATGAACAGTGACAGAACTGTTCATATTTAGGAGGCTCATTTTTACAGAGCGGAAAACTAACAAGGGTATCGAAATCTAGTGTCTAGTAATAAAGGAGTGGCACCTGAGAGAAATGTTTATTATCTGCTGAAGCATGGCCGTGGAATATGGCCTGGCCCCTGACATATCCTGTTTTGAAAAATTATTAATGTTTCATTTATGCTTAGAATTAGCAGATAAATAATTATATTTTCTTTTAATTTCTCTGAAAAATTATGTGTTTTAATCCTTGTAGTGAGTTGACCCTGGCCGGCAATTAAGCACTAACTAGCTGCTTATTCACTTAGCCTTCATCAGGATGGGGGAGTAGACTGGAAGAGAAAATGTGAGGAAAATCTCATGGGTCAAGATAGAGACAATTTAATAAGTGAAGGGGGGAAAAGCAGAAAAAGAAAAAAGCAAAATGCAAATGATTGAAAGGCCACCAGTCTCCACCTCCCAAAAGCAAGCTGGTGGCCAGGCAATCTCTGAGCAACGGCTACTTTTGAAAAATTATCACCAAGTCTTTATTGCTAAGCATGATGTTAGATGGTCAGTTAGGGTCAGCTGTCCCAGCTGTGTCCACTCCCTGACTTTTAGAATCATAGAATCATAGAATCAGCTGAGTTGGAAGGGACCTCAGAGATCATCAAGTCCAACCCTTGATCCACTACTGCTGCGGTTACTAGACCATGGCACTAAGTGTCACATCCAGTCTCTTTTTAAAAATCTCCAGGGATGGAGAATCCACCACTTCCCTGGGCAGCCCATTCCAATGGGCTCTCTGTAAAGAAATTCTTTCTAATATCTAACCTAAACCTCCCCTGGCACAACTTGAGACCATACCCTCTTGTCTTGCTGATAGTTGCCTGGGAAAAGAGACCAACCCCCACCTGGCTACAACCTCTTTTCACGGAGTTGTAGAGAGTGATGAGGTCTCCCCTGAGCTTCCTCTTCTCCAGGCTGAACAGCCCCAGCTCCCTTAGCATCTCCTTAAAGGACTTGTGCTTGAGTCCCTTCACCAGCCTAGTTGCCCTCCTCTGGACCTGCTCTAGCACCTCAATATCCTTCCTGAACTGAGGGGCCCAGAACTGGACACAGTACTCCAGGTGTGGCCTCCCCAGGGCTGAGTACAGGGGAAGAATCACTTCCTTGGAGCTATTGGCCACACTGTTCCTGATCCAGGCCAGGATGCCGTTGGCCTTCTTGGCCACCTGGGCACACTGCTGGCTCATGTTCAGCTTCCTGCAATCCAAACTCCCAGGTCTTTCTCTGCCTGGCTGCTCTCCAGCCACTCTGTGCCCAGCCTGTAGCGCTGCATGGGGTTGTTGTGGCCAAAGTGCAGGATCCAGCACTTGGCCTTGTTGAACCTCATCCCATTGGAATCAGCCCAACTCTCCAACCTCTCCAGGTCCCTCTGCAGAGCCCTCCTGCCTTCCAGCTGATTGACACTCCCCCCCTGCTTAGTGTCATCTGCAAATTTGCTGATGATGGACTCAATCCCCTCATCCAGATCATCAGTAAAGATATTAAACAGAATTGGGCCCAGCACTGATCCCTGGGGGACACCACTAGTGACTAGCCGCCAACTGGATGCAGCCCCGTTCAGCAGCACTCTCTGGGCCCGGCCCTCCTGCCAGTTCCTAACCCAGCACAGGGTGCCCCTGTCCAAGCCGTGAGCTGCCAGCTTTTTCAGGAGTATGCTGTGGGAGACGTTGTCAAAGGCCTTGCTGAAGTCCAGGTAGACACATCCACAGCCTTCCCCTCATCCACCAGGTGGGTCACCTGATCATAAAAGGAGATGAGTTTGGTCAGACAGGACCTACCCTTCCTAAACCCGTGCTGGCTGGGTCTGATCTCTTGTCCATCCTGTAGGTGCTGTGTGATTGCACTGAGGATGATCTGCTCCATAACCTTGCCAAGCACTGAGGTCAGGCTGACGGGCCTGTAGTTTCCTGGGTCCTCCTTCCGGCCTTTTTTGTGGATGGGCGTGACATTTGCCAACTTCCAGTCATCTGGGACCTCCCCAGTGAACCAGGACTGTTGGTAGATGATGGAGAGAGGCTTGGCGAGCTCTTCTGCCAGCTCCCTCATCACCCTTGGGTGGATCTCATCTGGTCCCATAGACTTGTGGGGATCCAAGTAGCTCAGTAGGTCACTAACTGTTTCCTTTTGGATTACAGGGGGGCTGTTCAGATTATTGTATCTTTCTACAAGCTCCAGAAGCCAGCTGTCCTCAGGACAACCTGTCTTACTGTTGAAAACTGAGACAAAGAAGGTGTTAAATACCTCAGTCTTTTCCTCATCTTTGATAACTATATTCCCGCCCATGTCCAATAAAGAATGGAGGTTTTCCTTGCCCCTTCTTTTGCTATTGATGTATCTGTAGAAGGACTTTTTGTTATCCTTCACAGAGGTGGCGAGATTCAGTTCAAGTTGTACCTTTGTCTCTCTAATTTTCTCTCTACACGACCTAACTATATTCCTAAATTCTTCCTGAGTAGTCAGCCCTTTTCTCCATAATTGGTAGCCTCTCTTCTTTACCCTAATTTCTTTCAAAATTTTTCTGTTCAGCCAGGCCGGTTGTCTTCCCCGCTGGCTTGCCTTTTGGCACAGTGGGACAGCCTGCTCCTGTGCTTTCAAAACTTGCTTCTTGAAGTATGTCCATCCCTCCTGAACCCCTTTGTTTTCAAGGGCTGTTTCCCAGGGTACACTCTGAACTAGTCTTCTGAAAAGGCCGAAATCTGTCCTCCGGAAGTCCAACGTAGAGGTTTTATTGATGGCCCTGAGTATTGAAACCTCTATTATTTCATGATCACTGTGTCCCAGATGTCCACCGACCACCACATCTCCCACCAGCCCCTCTCTGTGAACAGGATGTCTAGTGGGGCTCCATCCCTGGTAGGCTTATTTACCAGCTGGAGCAGGAAATTATCCTCTATACACTCTGGGAATCTCCCAGACTGTCTCTTCTCCTCTGTGTGGAGTTCCTTGGCCTCCTTGCCCATAGCAAGCAGAGTGAGAAACAGAGAAGCCTCAAAGCTGTGCAAGCACTGCTCAGTAGTAGCTAAAACATGGATGAGTTGTCAGCAGTGTTTTGGTCACAAAACCATACTGGCTGCTGTGAAGAAATTTAATTCCATCCCAATCAGACCCGGTACACTCCTGCATAATTTAAAGGGTTTTTTTCCTGACATTTGGGTTCATTCCAAAATGAGTCATGTTCTCATTCTCTATGTGTACATAGGACTAAGATGCCTCCAAGCCTAGTTTCAGGCACCTCAAACTTTGACATACAAGTAAGATTCATACCAGGTCATTTATACTCAGCCTGAATCAAATCCTTAGATTAGACAGACTCCAAGTTAGGAAATTTAAGATTTGCGTGTGAGATTTATGCCATAGGACTATCATTCATATTGAAGACAGATAAAATAAAGAAAAACAAGGTGAAATAAAGTGGTACCCACATTGCATTG